GTGAACCCAGCTTGTGGGTTCACGATGGCGAAACCCAGGCTCGTGGGTTCACGATGGCGAACCCAGGCTCGTGGGTTCACAATGGCGAACCCAGGCTCGTGGGTTCATGATGGCAAACCCAAGCTCGTGGGTTCGTCGTGAACCAGCTCGTGGGTTCACGATGGCGAAACCCAGGCTCATGGGTTCACGATGGCGAACCCAGGCTCGTGGGTTCGTCGTGAACCCAGCTTGTGGGTTCCTCGTGAACCCGCGAGCTGGGTTCCTCTTGAACCCGCCAGTTGGGTTCGTCGAGAACCTCTTAATAAAAGAGTAGTCAACAACAAAAAAAAGAGGGGGTTCTTTTGGTGATTTTTAGGTGTTCTTTTTTGTCCATTTTTGAACTTCTCCTGGGTTTTGCAAGCGAAAGAGCAACAGATTCCTGCCGGATTTTGGTGACATTTTGGTCTCCCTTAGCTAGGTAACTTCCAGAGCCAAACAAGTAATGGGCGCCTTCATCCGGGACTGCTCCAAAACAATGTACCCGAAAGCATCACGACCTACAAAGCGCCTCTTACGTGCCTGTTTGTTGCAAAGAAAATTCACGAGAAACTGAATTTGTTCTTTTTGTTTTTTTGGTCCGTTTTAAACAATTGGGTATTAAACCAAACAATTTTTCGATGATAAGGGTCATCTAGAAGGGAACTTCATATATTTCTTGTTTACTCATGGTGAAAAATTTCTCTGATCGAGTATCAAATAGGAATGGAGAGAAAATGATGTTGAATGGAGCAGAAGACGGGTACAAATGGCCAGCAGAAAGGATCGTCGGCATCCAATAGAACACCTTCTACATGCATTGCGCTTTGGTATCTTCAGATCACTGAATTCTTATGACTTCGCAAAATCAAACTGTATTCATCAGTTTGTAAACAATTGGTATTAAATCATCATTTTTTTTCCCATGTAGTTTTTCTGAAAATTGGGTCTGGAAATTCTACCCCCAGTTTAAAATTCTAGGAGAATTTCCAGATTCCGACCAAAGTTAAAAATCCAAAGAAATTGCAAAAAAAAAAAAAATCAAAGGCCAAAACCAGGGCCTAATGGAGCCTAAATGCATTTAAAATTCACCAACATAAACTAGAATTGAGCATGTATATTCAAGATTAAAGTGGAATGGTACATTCAACCAAAAACCCATCACCAAATACCATGGATCATATGCAAAGCTCCATCACAAAGCTTCACACCATCACCATTATTGTTGCTAGCCTCCATGAATTATATATCGATGCTCATCCAGATTGCTCATCCAGATTGGAGCCATACCTTTCAGATCGACGTCATTTATCGATGCTTCGTAACCACTTGTGATGCCTTGGTTTCGATCAATCAGGAATTCCAAGTCCTTAGGTTAAAACTCCAAACCTGATCTTGGTTGAAGCCCCAATCCCAATATGGGTTTTAAACCCCAACTAGAAACAAAAAGAAGAAAAAAAAAGGGGAAAGAAAAGGGAAATGACGAACAAGGAATGAGGAGAGTGGAGAGTAGAGAGTAGAGAGAAAAATGAGAAAGGGAAAGAATGTTGCTGTTGGCATTGGTGTCAATGTCGGTGCTGTAGAACAGGGAAAAGAACAAAAATGGCAAGGGATAAGGGTTGAAGATAAGGGAGGGTTAATATTGTAATTGTTTATTTTCTTCTATTAAATTTATTAAAATTACCAAATCATCATTTTTTTCCCCATAGTTTTCCTGAAATAAAAGTGTTAATTCGTGGCAAGTTAACGTGCCAGCTAGGCACTTTGGTGACGGAAGGACCATTTGGGTTCTGAAAAAATAAAGTTTAAGGATGGTGTGGGTGCTTTCTAAAGTTAAAGGACGAACTAAGTTTCGAAATGAAAGTTTAGGGACCAAATTGGGCATTGAACCATATTTTAATTATCATACCATTCCAATCTACCCCAATTCCTTTAGATAAATATACTTTTTAACATTTTAGAGATTGACGGTTGACTCCTTATTAATATGAATTAAACAGGGGCACATACCATGAGTAAAAGTGCAAATAAGGATGCCAACTTTTAATTTTTTTAAAATAAGAATGCCAACTTTCAATTTCTTTTATTTAATGATGTTAACTTTCAATTTTTTTTATTTAAAGATTAATTGGGTGGTGATGCTAATGTGGCTAACATATTTTTTGAGGTTAAATACCTGAATTGGTCCCTGAACTTTTATTTTTGAACTAATTCATCCTTGAACTTCAGAAAGTGCCGAAAACATCCTTCAACTTCAATTTTTAGAACCAATTTCGTCTTCCGGTCAGTTAAGTGCTAATGTAGCTAATTTTTTTGCTAAGTGATTGACTATTTTACATTTTCAATATTAGGTGGAAAATTCATCATGTAAAAGATGATTATGTGGATTTTTTTAATTTTAAATAATTTAAAAACTACTTTAATTCTTAATTTTACTTTATTTAT